GAGGTGCAGCCCCGACGGCTGTGGCCAGTGAGGCAAGGGTTTCTGCCCTTGGCTATGGTAGGAAGGCTTTGGCGAGGGTAGAATCTAGGCGAGCCCCTATGAAGAGTATGGACTGTGTGTGTGTGTGGGGGGGGAGGACAGGTTTGTCATGGTTGATGAGGAGTCCTAGGTCCTGTAGGAGGTGGCATGTGATAGCTAGGCCACGCAGTAGGTCCTCCCTGGAGGGGGCCACGGGAGGCCAGTCATCCAGGTAAGGGAAGATCTGGACATCCTGGAGCCTGAGGTGGGCACAGACGACTGCCACACATTTGGTCAATACGCAGGGAGCCGTGACAAGGTCAAAAGGGATGATGCAGACCTGGAAGGCGGGCTGGTCAATTCGGAAACACAAGAAGTGCCTGTGTTCTGGGTGGATGGAGATATGTAAATAGGCGTCCTTCAGATCGATGGAGGCAAACCAGTCTCCTTGGTTAAGGAGAGGGAAGATGACCTGGAGTGTGAGCATTGTGAACTTCTTGGGGGTGATGAACTTATTCACCCCGCTTAGGTCTAAGATAGGCCTTAGAGTCCCGTCCCATCCCATTTGGGTACTGTGAAGTACCTGAAGTAGAAGCCCCTGCAGGCTGACAGGGGGACACATTCTATCGCCCCTTTATCCAGCAGAGCCTGGACCTCCACCCAGAGGGCGGGAGATGGGGGAGTGGTCTTGTGCAACCATGGGGCGGTAGAGCATCAAATTCAATCCTGTACCCCACTTGGATGATGGATAGGACCCAGGAGTCAGAGGTGATGGCCTCCCAAGCTGGGAGGTATTGTGCTAGGTGATCTGTGAAGCTGGAAGGCTGCCTGGACAAGAACATCAACGCCTGTGCCTGTGTCTGGGCTCTCCTACGGGAGCCTCTGGTGGGATTGGCAGTCCCGCCTCTTGTTGGCAGGCGGCGCTCTGTGGCACGTGGAGCGGTCAGGGAAAGGGCGGTGGCTGGGGGTTGTAGGGGTTCCCTGCCACCTCCTCTGCACTGAGCTCTGGCCGAAGCCCATGCATTTGGCGGTGGTGCGTGAGCTTTATGGAGAGATTCCATATTCTCGTCTGTACCGGCATTAAAGAGGCCTTTGCCATCGAAGGGCAGATACTCAAATCGGGCCCAGGTTTCGGGGGGCAGGGATGTGGAGCATAGCCAAACATAGCGGCGGTTGGCTACTGCCCCCATCATGGCCTTACTGGCGCAGTCGACATGGTGCCGAGCTGCCTCCAGCTGGAACCTGGAAAGGTCCTCTGCCTCAGTGTGTATGAGGTGGACTGCATCCCGTAGGTGGTCAGGGAGCTGTTCTACTATGGCACCCATCTTCTCCCACAGGAACAGCTGGTACATGGCCATGGTGGCCTCATAGTTGGAGACCCTGAACCCAAGGGCAGCCACCGCATAGATCTTTTTTTGCCATGGTATCCAGGCAGCATCCCTCCTTGTCCACCGGGGTGGACTGGTCCCTCTGGGGGGTGCCCTGCATAGACTGGGGTGTTGGAAAGGAGGGGGAAGGCCTTGATGGTAACCTTGTGGGCAGACTCAGCTCTGTGAGAGGAAGCCAATGGCCCAGCAGGGGCTTTCCAGGACTGTCGCACTGTGCAAAGCAGCACAGACAAGGCAGGTATGGACACAGTGGTGGTATCCCCTGAGGCCAGGGCGTCATAGCCCGGGTCAGCCTTGGGTTCGGGTGGATGGGAGGCTCGGAAGCTGAGATCCTCAGCCATGTGGAGCACCAGGTCAGAGAAGCCACCCCCCTTAGCAGGAGAGAAAGAGAGGTCCTGATCCAGGGCCTGGCCATCGGGGAAGTGGATGGAAGCTGCAGGGGAAGGGGAGTGTCCCGAACTCAGGGGTCAGCTCTGACCTGAGTCCTGGGAAGGCGAATGCCGGTGGTGGCTGCTCCTGCTTTGACGATCCCGGTGAGAAGGGTGTGAGCAGCCCTGCAGCTCTGCGGTGAGCTGCAGGGCTGCAGGAGTGGCGGCGCTGGGGGGAGGCCTGGTGTAGGCCACATTGCTTGATGAGTCCTCGCTGGGCCGGCGGCATCGGTGCGCACGGGGCCTGTTCCTGGGCCTGGTAGCGCGGCTTGGGCTCGGGCGGGGAGGCAGGAGAGTGGTGGCAATGCTTGTAAGGAGTGGGGTCACTGGAGGAAGTGGAGGTAGGGCTCCAGACGTGGCGCCCAAGGTGGGACCTTCGTTTGGAGGCAGGGAGCCTCAGCCGGGTGCGGGGAGCATGGGCCTCCAAAGACCTGGAGTTGAAGTTGGCCGGGCAGGGCCTCCTTGCGTGTGGGGTTGAGAGTGGTGAGCTGGCATGCGAGGAGGCTGCAGAGCGCAGCAACTCCAGCGGGGGTGGGGGAGCGGTGTGCCTGTCAGCTCCAGCGGGGGTGGGGGAGCAGCATCGCCCGCGGGCACCAGAAGCGAATGGCAGTCCCTCGAAGGGCGTGCAGGAGGCAGTCTCCACCACAAAATGGGGGCCGGGCCACGTGCTGGCATCATCTCGGGCATAGGTGGCAATGCCGGGGGGCACGCGTCTGGCGAACCCAAGACCAGGACTGCAGGCATCTCATTTGAAGATGCCCCCAGGTCCAGGGGAGCAGGGTCCCTCGCGACACTGCACTTCCTCCTCTTTGCCGGCCCCACAGTTCCAGAGGGGCCCTCTCCTGGCAATGGTGCTCAAGGTGCCGTCAGCCAGGAGGTTTTTGGCCCCGGAGGGGGTGATGGTCATGAGGGCCCACTGCCACAGGGCTTGCTGGAGGCGCGTGGCCCTCTGCCGGTGCATCTGGGTATTAAAATCCTGGAAGTGCAGGCAGGTCTCCACAAAGTGCCCTTCACCAAGGCAGAGGAGGCACTTGGAGTGCCCATGGTTGGCAGGCATTCGAGCTGCGCAGGAGTTGGCCATGTGTTTCAAAATGGACCGCGCGTGGCAAAGGGAATGGAAGAGAAGGAAGGAGGAAAGAGGAAATACCCAGAGGGGTTTTGCCAGGTGATATGGTGAGAGGGAGAGGGAGAGGGAGATGCAGCGTGGTGACACGGACAGTGCATCAGCTGTCAGCGGATCTCTTACTTGGTTTGGGCCAAGCTGCCGTCTTCTTCCATATAAGAAGATCCTCTGCTAATGACCTGCTGGGGTCATTAGCAGAGGATCTGTTCATATGCTCCGAGGAAAAAAACCTTATTAGTGGTAGTGCCATACCCCTGGATTCAGCTTCCATCTAGGGTTTATCAGGCCATGTCCTTGCAATCTTTAGGAAAAATCTGAAGATCTCCCTTGTTTTCATTGATTTTTTTCAGTCTGTGGACTGTAGGTTTTACTGATATTTGTTTTGATTTCTCTCATCACATTTACTCATTGCTTCTCTGTTGTATTTTTCATAGTTTCATATTGTTTTATCTTGTATGTGGCCCTGAAGGGGCTCCACCTTTGAATGTGGCCTAAAGTCAATTTTAAATAAAATTTTAATTGTCCATCATAAATAGAAAATTCAGCAGTTGTTCACTCTGTATAGACTATCTGTGCAAAGGAAACTTTTAGATACAAAACTATTCTGGCACTTGTTCCATCTGCAGGAAGTGATATTATGCTGCTTGCCTGCCATTGCATATCATTAAATGTATTAATTTGGAAAAGTCTGTACGCTAGTGGAAAGCAATTCACATTTATCTGTACTTCTGGTGTTCCAAAATCCAAGGTGTTTTCATTAGTACTTGGTACAAATATTCAGTCCTGAATGAAGTTTAAATGATATGCACAGAATACAAACTGAAAAAAGGGGCAGCAAGTGTGTGGCAATAGATTTTGGTTGTTGATTGAATGTTCAGGTATTGCCTGTCTGGTTGGGGAATTCTGGGAGTTGCAGGAGCATTTGGAGGTGGTGGCTAAACATTGGTAAGACTGTGCCCATTGATGTTTCTAATTCTTTTCCAAAATATTTTTAAAATGGCAGAGCCAGATATAATTCCAGATTAAAAGATAAAAATGTTGTTTAAAACAATAGATATAAAAATATAAAGAAAGTTATAAGATCTTATTTCATTTGTTTCTGCAACCCATTTCACCCGAGGCCCCACTCCTTGTTTTATTGGTGGCTTATCTGTACTTTGCATTGAAGTGAAGCAGTGAAGCCCAGTCCAGGCATTCACTGCTCCTTTGATTTCCTCTGAGCCAGATGAGCTCCCATTTTTCCAGTGGCCATTTTGCCATTCATTTCACTACATTCCCAGGAGAAAAGTGGCTGATGACTTACAGCCTGACCTGAACACATTAACTCAAAAATCAGTATCATTTTAGTCAACACTGGTGGAGACAGATTAGAAAAAATGTGTGGACTACATTATATTGCCAGGACCATCCTGTGATCAGGTAGAGCAAAATGTCCTCTCTCTCATACTTTTCCATATGTTGCTAGTTGTGTCCAAAGCCCAACAATCCATGTCCGTAAAACCCTCCTAAAATTTCAGTTTCTGCAAAAAGTTGAATCACAGTTCTGTGCAGGTATATTTTGGATACTTATATTTGCATATATTTTATGAGACCAAAAGTGGAGCCATTTGATACATAATTTGCAAAAATGGAGCAGAATCCCCACTCAACTCTGCAACTGCATAAACATGCAGCGACTGGGGCACACATGTGAGTAAACCACAGGCAGGCAAACTCTCTGTGAGGAACAACCAAGCATGCACAAAACGTTAACAGCTAAAGTGTAAAGCATCTCAAATATTCTTTCCAAAACTGCAAACGTATCATACCTAATTTAAAGCGCTCCTAATATGGCCCGTTCTGCATCCTTTGCACATACGAGTTAGCTCCACTGAGATCAGCGACGCTCAGTTCCAAGCACGCTTCGTAACGGAGAGGGCTCCGAGGCCGGGAGCCTCGCACACTGTGCGATGCAGCTGCGTCCCCGGCCCGACCCAAGGGGCCGCGAAGACGCCCCCGCGCCCGACGCGCCCGCTCCCACCCCCTCCCCGAAGAGCCACTCACACTTGAGCCAGCGCGCCCCGGCGTGCGTGTCCTTGTCCTGGATGAGCCTCTTCTGCGCGTAGCGGCGGCAGATGTACCACGCCATCCAGAGGAGCTGCAGCAGCATGAGGGTGATGAGGTACGACAGGACGGCGCTCTGGGCGATGCCCTCGGCGTGCACCGCCCAGGCGAACATCAGCAGCAGCCCGGCCAGGAAGAGGTGAAGGCCGTACTGGCTGCTTAGGATCTCGGCGTTTTTCTGAGGGTAGCCTCGGCCCGCGAGCAGAGCCAAGCGGCCGCCACTGCCGCCCCCCGTGGACTGCGCCGGCGAGGGCGGTGGCGGGCCCGCGGCTGTCCTCTCCAGCTGGCAGCCCGCCTCCGCCGCCCGCGCGCTCGGGCTTTTCTTGCCGCGGCTCCTCTTGCCCTCCAGGGTGGCTTCGGCGGGGCTGCCTGGCTTCCCTTCGTTGACCATTTTGGCGCGGCTCAGAAAGACAGTCCCGAAAAAAGGGCCCGGGGCCTGGAGGGGTGGGCGCGCGCGCACGTGTGTGCCGCGTGGCGCCCGCACCGCTCAGCACGGAGGAAACGCGTCGCACCTGTGCGGGTTCCCAGGACCAGGAAGGCTCGCGCCACGGGGACGCTGCCTCTCGGCGCGCGCCCCGTGCGCCCCGCGCTTCGCTGGCCAGCCGCGACTCCCGCTCCCCGGCTCAGAACAGCGCTGGCTGGCTGGCTGGCTGGCTGGCTGGCTGGCTGGCTGGGGGCGCTCACCCGGTGCTCAGATGCCTCCCTGCGGGCAAGCGTGGCGCCCTTTTCGTCTTGATGCAGCGGCCTCTGTTTCTTTCGCGGGGACCGCCGCTAGCGCCCCCGGACGCCTGGTTGCTTCGGCTCTCCCTTTCAAGACTGAACCGCAGGGAGCCTGGCTGCCTTTGGTGTACTTATGGAGTCGTTCTCGGGACTGGAAGGGGCCCTTCTGATGTCACTGGGTGTGCCGACTGGGTCGGATTTCAAACCCTCAGCTAAAGCCCGTTCGTCTCTGCCCAACTCGCCTGGAATAACTTGGATGAAGGAAACGCTGCGGGGCGTCCTGCCGGTGGCTGCCGATGGAAATTGCGATAAGAGTGAGGTGTGCCTGTGCGGGAGGGAGCCCTCGAGGATGCAGGATGGGGACGGGCTGCTTGGAGACGCTGGCCGATGCCTGCATGATCGCCCGCGGGTCACTCTGAAAAAGGCTTGCAGCTGGCGGGGCGGAGCGCAAGGTGTAACAGTTGGAAACAAGAAGTCTAGACCAGAGACAAATTCCACGGCGAAGCGTGCTGTCTGTGCCCCGATGAAGAACAACACTTGACTCCAGGAGTCTTCGGCTTGTGAAGGGCCAGGAGTCCACCCTATGCAAGTGATGTCATGGAGCAGAATCTCTGGAAGAAGCCGCCAGTCATGTCATGCTTTACACGCCGGAGTATGGCAGAAATCACTTAACACTGAATGGGATGGGATGCAGGAGGTGGCAGTGCTGTAAAAATGCATGTTCCTAGAGCTGTGTGCATGGGGTGGGGGGGTGCTAGGCATTATGGTTTGGAAATAGGGGCTACTTCCAGGATCCTCTTCATTCCTCATGGCTAAGAGGAGCTATACCAGATGAGACCTGCATCCTATTTGCAACAGCCAACTTTCAGAAAACTCAGAAAGAGGTACATGAAGGCAGTGCTAGTCCTCTTCTTGGATTTGTTCTGGGGGCATTCTGCCTTTGTACATTACTGGTGTGACTGCAGCTGACTGAGGGTTTTGTAAGTTGTAAACTTTTATCAGCAGGGCTTCTTCAGCTGTCAAATGGAGGACTGGAAAGGCTGGCTTGACATCCAACTTTATGGTCCAAAGAATCTTAGTTTTTAAAGTGATCAAAAAACTGGTGAGTCTGAAACAGCTTGTGATCATTGGGGAGGGCAGCTTGGTGTTCCTGCAGTGGCCCATGGGATACCTGTGGAAGGAACACAGAGGGAGAGAGGGGCCACTCTGTGGTGCATGGGGGGAGGTAGGATGGATTATCTGGAGGGGGGATGGTGGGGGAGGTGAGATGGCTTATTGTGCTTTGTGAACCCAGCTATTAGGGCACCAAACAGCAAAAGACTATCATCTCCAGATTTCCTAAGAGTCTATTTTCCTAACACCAAGAAGAAAGAATTTTGTCAAACTGTCAACAAAACCCTACTATCAGGGAAGCAAGGAAACAATCTGAGGAGCATATCATATATCAAAAGCAGGAAAGCAGCTAGAGTAACAGCTGTCTCTACTGGACCATTGGACAATAATGGATTAAAATTCTTGAGGTAGCATTAACTGATGCTGATGGAGACCTGATGCTGGAAAGTGAGGGTTTGATTGTGCTGCTGCGGGGGGAGGGCGGTGATTTCTAGATGTAGGCCTCAAGGGTTGTTTGTATAGCCCTTTTCTTTTTCCCATCATAAATGGTTCATTACAAGGGCAAATGCTACAGAAGAACCAAAGGAGAACTACACACCCTACAGGAGCTGATGCTACCTAAGGAATCTCTATCACCACAAAAAGCCATGAATATCTCTATGAAATGGTGTAGTTCCCTAGAGATATTCATTGCTTTTCTGTAGAGATAATCATATAGGGTTTATGTCAGTCCACACATTTGTATGGATGGGTTGTTTGTAACCCAGATGTTCATAACCTGGGGAGCTAGCTGTATACCTGTCCCTGAGCTTATGTATTCTGGAAGGGAGTCTGAGGAATTAAGCAGATAGTAGTGACTAGTCAAGCTATTCTCAACTTTATCAACAATCAGAAAGTCAGCAAATCACCTGGTCCAGATGGTATCCATCCTAGAAGCCTTAAAGAACTAAAGCAGGGGTCAGCAATCCATGGCTTCGGAGCTGCATGTGGCTCTTTCATCCCTCTGCTGCGGCTCCCTGTCACTCAAAATATGCATCACAACCGCCAATGTGCAACACACGCTGGCACGCAATTTATTGAGCTTTTCGACCCCCGGTAGGCCAACCATGGATAAATCGAAGAAAAGTTTCAGAAGAAAACAGAACGTTTAATGGTATGTGGGCAGATTCATTTGCCTTCACTGCTGACGAGACTGGTTTACCAGTATGCTTAATAGTGGTGAGAAATTGGCAAACAACAAAAAGTCGAATGTTGCAAGACATTTCCAGAATAAACACACAGCCTTTGCTGAAAAATATCTGGAAGGAGATGAGAGGGGAAAAAACCATTTCGGAACTGATGTGGAAGGTTGATCTGAGCAAAAATCATAATTTAAGTTTGGCTTGTTATTTCATAAATACGAGGAGGACTCAAATAGACATTGAGAATTTTATTTGAAAGTAACCTTCAACCCAGTGTTTTTTTTTTCTGAGTTCAAAATGTTTTTGTTGCATGCAGAAATAAAATTTGTTTTCTCTGTAGCAGTTGATTTCTTAAATGCAACACACTATAGTTTTTTTTATACATAGCATAAAGGTAAAAAAGGATATATGCAGTGTTATCTTCATTTTAGATGTCAAAAGGGTTTTGTGGCTTCTGGTGTTTTCTTTTCTGTGGGAAACGGGTCCAAATGGCTCTTTGAGTGTTTAAGGTTGCCGACCTCTGAACTAAAGCATGAAATTGCTGACCTTCTTACCAAAATATTTAATAGGTCTGTAAAAACAGCCCTGTACCAAGGATTGGAGAATGGCCAATGTAACACCATTTTTTAAAAGGATTCAGGGGGATTTAGGGATTTAATTTACAGGCCAATTAGTGTAACATCTGTTCAGGGTAAACTACTTGAAAGGATAAATATAGAATCAGTAAGCACACAGAAGGATGTGGCCTGACAAGAAAAAGAGCATGGCTTCCACAAGGGGAAATTTTGTCTCACTAACCTACTGGAGTTCTTTGAGAGTGTCAACAAGCACAAAGAAAGAGTGATCCAGTAGACATTGTCTACTTGGATTTCCAAAAGGCTTTTAACAAAGTCCCTTACCAAAGGCTCCTCAGCAAACTAAGCAGTTATGGAATAAAAAGGTAGGCACTCTTATGGACCACAAACTGGTTAAACAAGACAGAGGATGGCAATAAATGGCAACATCTCTCAGCGGAGAGATGTACCATATTTTTCCGTCTATAAGACGCCCCTATGTATAGGACGTCCCCCACTTTTCTTACCCAAAATTCAGAAATCAATATTTTAAACACTAAATAGAAGACATTTTTATTTAGTGATTAGGCAACATTTACATACCAGTACTATGATATTATGCTTCACACTTAGCTCTGAGCAAATCACTTTATTCAGCCTCTGTTGCATCACTGGTTTCTTCTTCATCATTTGGTTGACACAGACATTACCGCTCTCTGTCGCATCTGGGCACTGCCTACACACTCTCTGCAGCATCAGCTGAGGTCAGTTACAAAGGCTCATGATTGGAGGAAACCTATTAGCTTGTCTTGCAATCAGAAGTTTCGCTCCTGAGGCTAGTTTGCAGAGATAAGGTATCAGTTTCACAACCACAATTCTCTTCTCCCCCCTCCCCTGACCTCGGTATAAGAAGCCCCTCCATTTTTAGGTAAATATTTTGAAGAAAAAGTATCATCTTATACAAGGAAAATACGGTAACCAGTGAAGTTTTGCAATGTTGTGTATTAAGTCCAATTCTTTTCAACTTATCTGTAAATTATCTGGAATTAGGTGTAAGTAGTGAAGTAGCCAAGTTTGCTGATGACACCATACTATTTAGGATGGTCACAACCCTAAGGGACTGTGAGGAGATCCAAAGGGATCTCGGTAAGCTGGGAAAATAGGCATCAAAATGGCAAATGCAGTTTTGTATAAAGCAAATGTAAACTAATGCATGTTAGCACAAAAAATCCCAACTATATTTCGATGGGATTAGAACTAGCAGTGACTGAGCAAGAAAGGGATCTTGGGGTGGTAGTGGACAGCCCAATAAAAACCTCAGCCCTGTGTGCAGTTGCTGTGAAAAAGAAAAACTTCATGCTAGGCATAATTAAGAACAGAATAGAAAATAGAACTGCCAAGATCTTACTCCCCTTATACATTGGAATAACCGCACTTGGAATATTGTGTCCACTTCTGGTTCCCTCACCTGAACAAAGACATTATTGAATTGGAAAAAGTACTGAGAAGGGCAAGGAAAAGGATCAGCAAGCTGGAGCACCTCCCCGAGGAGGACTGGCTGCAACAACTGGGAATGTTCAGCTTTTTAAAAAAGGCAAGCAAGGAGACACATGATCAGGGTGTTTAAAATTATGCACAAGGAGGAGAAAATGGAGGGGGAAGAGATTTTTTCTTCCTTTCCCATAATACCTGAACCTGGGGTCATCCCATGAAGCTTTAGAAGAAGGCTTAGGACAGATAAAAGAAAGTTCTTCACACAAAATGTAGTTGAACTATGAAATCTGCTGCCATGGGAGGTAGTGTTGGTCACTGCCCTAGATGGCTTTAAAAGGGGATTGAACAGGTACATGGAACAAGAGACTTTCTAGGACTACTGTGATGCATCCTGCTGGAGGGATTTTGTGGCCAGCTGGTTTGCCACCATGTGTATGGAATGCTGGACTAGATGGACCCATCTGATCTAGCATAGCATTTCTTACATTCTTATGTTCTCATGTTCTTGAAGCTAATAGGTCTGAATTGCCCATTCAAGAGTAAACCACTCAAGAACACCTTGTATTAAAACAGTGATGGCTCACAGCAATAGATTATGGCTGAGAAAATCACTTTCCTTCAGCTACTAGGAGGATTAGGACTAAGCTTATAGGGAACAGGAGAAGTGGGGAAGGGAAGGCATTATTCCTGCTAATAAAGAAGTCCTAATGATTCCACCCTGAAAGCCCTAGTTCTATCATAGCACTGCTTTGAATTTTTAAAGGTATTCAAAAGACAATAAACAAGGGCAATGATAGGAACATTTAGTTAACTGACTGTAAAATGTAAAAGTACAACTTATTAGTACAAAGAGTCCCTACATGCAGATCTTCAAGAAGCAAGATTTCTTTTATACCCTGAAGAGTAGTTACCCATCATAGTGAAAACAAAAGGTAACAAACATGCAGCACTACAAGGAATCACAGCAGAGATCAGTTTCAGCTGAATCAAAATCAAAACAACAGCATTTCCACCAAATGCCTAATAGTGGTGAAGAAGCTCCCCTCAAAAGCTGCTTGTGGGAGGAAATTTCTAAGATTAGATGTCAACAAATGCTTGTGTTGCACATGGCCACCTGCCACAGGAGAACACAGAACAGCTCTTCAGGCAACAATCTAAATCAGTGAGTAGCTTCTTATGAGAGAACATAGTTCCAGAACTCTGGTTCCAGGTTGTTGAGGGCTTTAAGGTTTGAAATCAACAATCTCGTCTACGAGTCCTTAAAAGTAACACATCCTATTCCTCTGTGACTGCATGGAACATTTTAAAGTCTACTTGTCAGGAGCTGGAAGGGCTCACTCATCTTTCCATGGCAGCCACTGGAGAATTGCCAGAGATGGTGCAGCATGGCCGGGAATCTGCTTGGGAAGAACAAGGCATAGGACTCTTGTTTGTAGGAATGTGTGGGTGCATGCAGAGCTGTGCAGCATAGATTCCCAAACATTTTATTTTCAACTTTATTAGAAAATCAAACAAATTTATGATAAAAACATGGAGAATGACAGTGGATATAGCAAAGTATTTTGATATAGCAAAGTATTTTGGCATTGTAAGATAAAATACTGATTAATTTAGATACATCATAAATGATACTGGGTATCCACACTCCCCAGTCCAGAAAATGAGTGCACAGAAGCAGCTACTTTCATTAAGGATGTTTCGGGGGGGGGGGGGGGAATCTGAAATACACATATAATTGACACATTTTACCCTCTGGCTTAATAACATCTTAGTATTATCAACAGCTTTGGCTTATTAAAAGCTTAATGACCACAGCAAGTATGATCTAATTTTCTAATGAGGAAATAGTGCTTTGCTTCCCATTGCTATGGCTTATTTTTGTGCAATAATGCACCTGTTATAAGGTGTCCTATCCTATCCCTGCAAGTCATTATCGAAAAATTATATGCATTGCTCTTACTGAACTGTTCATATTAGATGGTATACTAGATAAGTAAAGCTGACCTGCAGTTACTTTTTATGAAAACTTTTCTTCTTCTATATTTTAAAGCTATCCATTTAAACTAAATAGTAGAATGACAGAGAGCATACAATGTAAGTTCTAAGTGACACATATATACACATTTGATATAACTTTTCATTGTTGCAACCTGCCCAGGGAGCTGTGTGGCTAATGGAACAGGTTAGAAATCTAATAAATGATAATAATAACTTGTCTTTAGCTATGTGGGCAAGAGTTTTTTTTAAGTTAATTAAAAACATCAGCACTGACCCTGATGCTGCAGGCCAAATAATTATACAAATATTTAAATATTCTGCATCAATTAAGTAATCATGAATTAATACCCTTAAAAATGTCCTGCCTCTCACAGTCCTGCTCAGCACTTGTAGACTCAAGATTGTGACTTATTTTTCAGAGTCAATCCATCTCATATTTGGCCTTCTACTTTTCTGGCTTTTGACTTTCATGATTGCCTTTTCTAATCAGCCTTGCCTTCTCATGATGCACCCAAAGTACAATAGCTTCACTTTTGTTTTTGTTTTTTTGCTTCCAGGAAAAGTTCTGATTTGATTTGACCTAGGATCCACCTGTTCATCTTTTTGTCAGATCCAGAATATTCACAATGCTTTGCTCCAGCATCGTGTTTCAAACACATCATGTTTCTTCTGTCCGCTTTCTTCACTATCCACTTTTCACACCCATACATAATGATCAGGAATATAATAGTTTGGATGATTTTGGCTCTGGTCTCCAGTGAAACCTGCTCAGACTTGATAATCTTTTCTAGTTCCACCCACTCCCCTGCAACTTCAATGCACACCTTAACATGGTAAGGAGGTTTAAGAGTGTCAGAGAAGCTGAGGCTGATGCTGCCAGGAGGCCAGACTAGTTACCCAGCAGGGCAACCCAAAACGTAATGGTCAAAGCAGACACACCAGATGAAAATTCAACCAGCTTCTTCAGGAGTAATGGTCACCATCAACAAAAGCGAATGGATATACCTAACAGTGACAGGGAGTGGAGAAACTCCTGAAAGGCAGCTTCAGGGGAACAGAAGTAATTGGAAGCAACACTGATGGAGGATCTTTCACAGACAGTGGCAGTTAACACTGAAGCTAACTCTGTTTAGTACTGCACAGAAGGTGGCCACGAAAAACCACTTCTGAATTTTATATCCTTGAAAACCCTATAATGAAACAATGCAAAATTCAACTAGTACCTTAACAGGGTCTAAACATGGACTGAACAGTCTTTTTGCAGTTTATTTCTCAACCTACCTGTGGCTCTTCCTTGTTCACTAATAACTGCCTAATAGGACCCAGGATAAAATGTATTAACAGGTTAACTAGATCATACAACTAGAGAATACTAAAAAAAACTACCAAATAGTAAGAACATAGGCATCAAGCTACACCTAACCACAAGTGCAATATCTGAAGCAGTCATACAGGACACTGTTCCCCAACATGGTATGCACTAGAAGTTTTGGAGGAGAAGGCTACCAGAGTCTAAGAGAGACTTGGGTCCCTTTGCTCGATTCATCCCTGGCTTATACACAGATCTCTTGCCAGGCTGTTACATGGAATTAGATGTCGGTACACCCTTCTATCTCTCTAGCCACTCCATTTAGTCTGTTCCCTCCACTCAAACAAGGAAACAGAACTTCAAAGCTCATGAGCAGAAGTAGTGGTGGGGACCAGATGAAGATACGGGAAGCATGCACAGGTCTGCCATTTTCTGTGGTGACCTAGTATTCTTTGTGTAAGGGAAATGGGAAATAAGCCCTATCATGATTTCTTGGGTTCCTCACCCAAGATAGAACTACTGTAGCATCATGCATGATTCATTATATTTATCAAAATTTTAGTGTGAAATTTTAATATTGCAATTGCTATCACAAAGATGACTGAAGCATAATCACTTTTAAAGAATGAAACACTTGTACTTTTATCCTCCTAGAGCCCATTGTCATAATTTCTCATGTCAGCACAATATTAAAAAATATGCAATTCTAGTACCATTTCAATGACTATATAAACAGAGTCCAAATGGCACCTGGATCATGTTAAAAAGAAAAAAAGTTTTAAACATAGGACAAGTTAAACAATTCAAGTTAATCTCTCTTTTAAGCACATGCTGCTTAAGATCATCTTGTACTTCTTTCTTCATGAGATGCAGCTTATCCAATTCCTCCAACATGTCCATCATAATTCTTCAAAATATGCTGATGCACAGTGAGAGGTAGATTAGAAATGATGGATTTAAATGAACTAGTTAACAAATAACAAGCATCTCATGCTATTCTTGTAAAACTTACAAATCTTGTAATAAATGGTAGAACATTCAGATGTTTTAAGTTGTCACAACAAGCAGAAGCTTGTACTGTTACAAATCCCAATTTCCTAGTTCTGTAGATGTCAATATCTATAGTTTGAGAAAAATGACAAATAATTCATAAATATATATTCCAGCTCATCATAAAAAGGAAATTAAAGCTTTTAATAATTTGAGAGTAACTATTACTTAAGCTGCAACATAAAGGCCATTTTGGATCAGAAATAATATGAGGATTCCTCTCCCCTGGCTCCTGGACAAGCAGGAGCATGAGGAAGGATGCTCAGCTCTCTGCAGAATGGATTTGACCCAGGAGCCTGAAGTCCTCCATGCTAGCTTTATGAGAACCTTGAAGAAAAATCAGTAGTACTATCTCCCATACTGAAGAAGAAGGGAAAGGCACCAAGGCTCAGAGATTTAAGACTATCTCTTAGTGAGTTCATGGCATAGGCAAGAACAAGTTCAAACTGACATCCTGATTCATAGCTCAGCCTCTTACTGCTTTACCATTTATACTGATATGAATTCATGAACTTAAGCATTGGCCAATGAGACTATATTATGCCAGTACTTTTCCATTGGTACTGCTTGCCAATACATTTTGGTACTGCTTGCCAATACATCACTTCCTCATAAGGTTTGAGCTCGAGAGCAGCCTTTCCCTCTGCAAGGGTGCAGACCCTATTGTATTGGTCCGCCCCTGGAGCCGGATGGATCCTGATGGATTCCTGGAAGCTCTGGGGGATTTTCTGGTTGACAAGGCTGGTGATCCTGTCGATGCCCTGATTGAACTGTGGAATGAGGAGATGACCAGGGCTATTGACACGATTGCTCCCAAGCATCTGCTCCCTCCTGACAGAGCCTGTTCATCTCCTTGGTATACACCTGAATTACGGGCGATAAAGCAAGTTGGGAGACGTCTAGAGCATAGGTGGAGGAGATCACGGGGTGATTCTGACCAAACACACTTAAGAGCCCACTATTGGGCCTATGCTGTGGCGGTGAGGATGGCGAAGAAGAAATTCTTCTCCGTTTCCATTGCCTCCTCACAATGCTGTCCGGCAGAGCTTTCTTGGGTGGTGCAGGGGTTGATACATCTGGGCCCGAAGAAAGATCTTGTGCCACCCTCGAAGGCCCGCTGTGACGACTTTGCCAAACATTTCAAGGCGAAAATCACTCAGATTCGCCACGAGCTTGACTCTGCTATTGAATCAGATTCTACTGGGGAGACGCCATTGACGCCGTCGAGTCCACAAGTAATGAATGAATTTCAGTTGTTGCGGCCTGATGATGTGGACAAGGTGCTTGGACAAGTACATCCTACCACTTGCTTACTAGACCCATGCCCATCTTGGCTACCTAAGAAAGCCAAGGATGAGATTGGGACCTGGATCCTGGAGGTGGTCAACGCTTCTTTAAGAGACAGCCAGGTACCTGCCCCTTTAAAGGAGGCGGTAGTCCAGCCAGTCCTAAAGAAGGCATCCCTGGATCCAGAGGTGGCCGCCAATTATAGACCGGTGGCCAACATCCCATTCCTGGGTAAGGCGCTAGAGCGGGTGGTGGCAGGACAACTCCAAGCACTCTTGGATGAAACTGATTATCTGGACCCATTTCAGTCCGGCTTCAGACCCGGGTATGGCACTGAATCTGCCTTGGTCGCCCTGTACGATGACCTGTGCAGGGAGAGAGACAGGGGGAGTGCGTCCCTGTTGGTCCTCCTGGACCTCTCAGCGGCTTTCGATACCATCGACCATGGTATCCGTCTGAATAGGCTAGCAGGATTGGGAGTTGGAGGCACCGCGTGGCGGTGGTTCCGCTCCTATCTCAATGGCCGATTTCAGAAAGTGGTGCTGGGGGACTATGGCTCTTATGCCATGGAGTTCCGCAGGGGTCCATTTTGTCCCCTTTGCTATTTAACATCTACATGAAACCGCTGGGAGAGGTCATCAGGAGGTGCGGGCTTCGGAATCATCAGTATGCTGATGATACCCAGCTCTACCTCTCGTTTTCCACCAATCCAGGTGAGGCAGTGGCTGTGCTGAACCGGTGCCTGGCCGAGGTAATGGGCTGGATGAGGGCCAATAAACTGAAGCTCAATCCAGACAAGATGGAGGTCCTGTTGGTGGGTGGCTCGGGCCTCGGGATGGGGGCCTTGTCCTAAATGGGGTTGCACTCCCTCTGAGGGACAGCGTTCGCAGCTTAGGAGTGCTCCACGACCCTGAGCTGTCTCTAGAAGCTCAGGTGACAGCGGTGGCGAGGAGCGCCTTCCTTCAGCTTCGGCTGATACATCAGCTGCATCCCTTCCTGGAGAATGACTGCCTGGTAACAGTGACACACGCGCTGGTAACTTCCCAATTAGATTTCTGCAACGTGCTCTACGTGGGGCTACTCTTGAAGACGGTCCGGATACTTCAATTGGTGCAGAATAGAGCTGCCAGGTTGCTGACAGGGACTGGGCGTTGTTCTCATATAACCCCAGTTCTCCATCAGCTCCACTGGCTCCAGACTGAAGTCTGGGCCCAATTCAAGGTGTTGGTTATCACCTATAAAGCCCTCAATGGCTTGGGACCTGGATATCTAAAGGAACACTGGCGCCCATATATGCCCTCCTGCCCCTTGAGATCAGCAACGGATGCCCTCCTCCAGGAACCCTCTGTGAATGATATTAGGAGGGTGAGTACCCGGAGGAGGGCTTTCTCTGTGGTGGCACCCCATCTATGGAATGCGCTCCCCAGAGAGGTCCGCCTAGCGCTGTCGTTATTTGTTTTTCGGCGCCAGGCTAAGACCTTTTTATTTAAAACTTATTTTAATTGTTAAATTATTGAATTAATTAGGATTTTAAAACTTTTAGCCGAGAATGCACCGGGGGTTTTTAAATGTTTTTTTAATTGTTATATTATTATTATTATTATTATGTATGTTTTTACGTATTCTTTGTGAGCCGCCCCGAGGCTTTGTTGCGATGGGGGCAGCATAGAAATGTTTTAAATAAATAAATAAATTTTCAAAGTGCTGACATTAATATTCAAATTCCAAACTACTTGGATCCAGTTTACCTGAAGGCCTGCCTTTTTCCATATACCAGCTTGGCCCTTAAGATTGTCCTCAGTGGTCCCTCTCCAGGAGCCACCATCAAAGGAACTTGAGGCGGGTGGTACAAAAAAGAGGGCCTTTTCTGTTATGGCATCCCTGTTGAGGAATAAACTTTCCAGAGAGGAATGCCTGGCACTTTCATGCACCAGATAAAGACTGTATTTTCCCAGGCTATTTGAGGGCACAATCCTATGGAAATGAGCATGAACCCCTGAACTTTGTTTCAAATCTGTAACTATATTTTAAATCTATGTAAAATATGTGGCTTTAAATTTTAATATTGCATATTTTGTTTTTACATTGCACTTTATAATTGTTATGAACCACCCAGACAGCTTCAGATATTGGGTAACAGAGCAAAGTAATAATAAATAGGTGTCTTACCATAAAAGATTTAGCCAAGGAGTGACACAAGCATCATGATGCCCATGAACTGAATGAAAAGCACCAGAGGTGTAAGAAAAGACCATATGGGCCATAAGGAAATGTTAAAACTAGGAACAAGAAAAAACAAAACAAAAAAGATCAATTTCAATTTATGCCAGTAATTCTAACTATAGCATATACTATATTTATCTTTAAAGAGATTATTATTTAGATGGTAGAATCTAAAATATTAATCCAGTTGTCACTGAAAAGTTGCAACAATGGTGGGCAACTTGTAGGCCAAAAGATTGGGAGGGCTAAAACTGCCTTCATCTCTCAATCAACTATGCTGGGTAAGGCTTATGGAAGGCCAAAGCATCTTGGGGTCCACAAGTAGTCCACCTTTGAGTTACAGTAACACCTCACCATTCTTATTTAGACTTTTAACATTTGTTTCCATCCTGAGTGACACAAATCTATTTGTGTGCTACATTTTATAATGTTACATTTTATAAGTGATGAGCACATTCTAGATGGTTAAATAAGGAAAAGAACTCTTTAGCAGTGCTCAGGATAGAAGCAAGACCACAAAAGCAGATCAGCATGGAGAACTCCCCCACTGTACTCCTATACTTCATGAAAGCCAGTAAGATATACTGTCCCAGCCAGGACAGAGCACGTAAAGGCAAAGAGTACAGTTACCAGTTCAGTCAACATCCAGGTTGTACAACACTCTCTCTTCTATGGTCTTTGTTCTCAATGTTAACCCTAGCATAGAGTTTGGTAGGATGGGACATACTTTTTCCTTGCATTGATAATTATTGGGCTTTCTATCTTATTTGCAGTAATGAAGAGGAGGAACTTTATATGGCATCTATTAGTTTGGTTGCTGTCATCAGTTTTGCTTCCTAGCAAATGGAGATTCCACATAGGTGAAGAGTACTCTTTGAGGAAACCTCCTTAAGAGGTACTTGAAATAAATATGCTGAAGCAATCACAACTTAATAAAGGAAAACACAAACCCAGGGACTGAATGGGGACCACAGTCATGACTGGTTCAATTTTGTCTCATCTTTTTCAACGGGGTGGTTAAACTAGATTTTAACAGATTGTTTTTTTTTTAAATGACTTTTTTAATTTCTTAAAACTAAATCAGTTTTTATCAAAGACAGAATTTTGGAGAAGTATGAGGTACAGTGCCCAATCACTCTCGCTTGGCTCCTACCATCTTCAAGAGTGACTTCAAGTAACAGGGCTCAGCAGAAAGAAAAGGATTAGCATTATGTTCAACACATCTCTCTCCTGTTCTCATGCAAGCAAGAAACTGTAGCCAATTCCAAGAGTCTAGGTGGGTTGGAACATGACAAATCAGGAGTCCCACTTCAGATGGAACACCAAAGCTTTTCCTCCTGGCAAGTTACTGGGTAATAAAGCAATGCCCACTAACAGAAGAAGGTAAGTGGGACTGACTGGCCTGGACAACAAAATGCCACTATTCCTCAGAATTTGTCATATCATTATGTGAAAAAGTAGTCAGAGTTACCCACTGTTTTTCTATGTAAATAAAGTGCCAACAGGTCATATATTGCATTAGTATTATGCACCAGGGACTGGCAAATAATCATAGGAACTGGAATCCAGCCCCCGGATCTAAGAAATTCTATCCTTAGACCATCACCATTCATCACCAGTACTACAAGCTTATATACACTCCTGCAGGCATAAGCCTTTGTGAGCCGCCCCGAGGCTTTGTTGCGATGGGGGCGGCATAGAAATGTTTTAAATAAATAAATAAGCAAGCAAGCAAGCCATAGCAGAGGCTGGTGACTCCAATGTCCAAGGAGTTGCATATCCATGGCTGGCAGCAGCCTGAAGATGTATCCTTCATGCTAAACCTATTTTGGGGAAGGATTCAACACCCTGGATAGCTTTTTTAATGTTCAGACCTAAACCCAGAATGAATACACTCCCCCACTGTCACTAGAGCCATCAGTCTCTATGACAGACATTGCTCTGAGGAGACCTGTGCAAGACTGTGCTGCTCCAGGATGACCTACTGTGCCCATGCTAATGATTCTGTATGAGCAGAAATCAGCTCTTCCAACCACTGAAATCATGTGTACCAGCCAGAAGATCCTCTCCAGATGACTGAAAAGTCCTCCTGAACAGTGGCAGGATGTTTATATGGGGCTGCAACATGAGGAGGGAAATCAACCCAAATCAGATCTTGTTCCAGCAGGAATAGAAACACAGAAAAAGACCAAGTCAGAAGGGGTCTCCTGGGCCATCTAGTCTGACCCCTGGCTCTAGGTGGCTCCACTCACGACATGCCTACCATGTGCATGTCTAGCCTATGTTTGTACACCTTCAGCAATGGGGCCTCAGCCACCTCCCATGGAAGCCCATTCCATACCCTAGGGGTCCTAACTGTCAGGAAGTACTTCCAGGCATCCAAATTGAACCTTGGTTCCTTGAGCTAAATAAATATGGAGAGGGATCCAGATTGAGTCAAGTTTCAGTCCCACTGAAAACAGTGTAACTTATTAGGTCAGTTATGAATCCATGAAACGCCTGCTCCTCACTCCAGCTGGTATCTTGCTGTAGTTGAGCTGGCATGTTTTCAAATGAACAAATCAATAGTACATGTAGTCCCCTTATCATTCAGGCTTCACATTGAAATAACTAATGCCTTAGTTACTAATATGACATGGAATAAAACAGAGTTAACTTTTATACTTCTAACTAAAGGGACCCAACCAAAAATCTAATTAGTTAAATAAGTTTTTAGAATCAATGCAAATCCCCAAAGGTAACATAATTCACAGACTAGCAACAAACTTACCAAACAGCTGCAGCAATAAAACTAGCAGTTGTGACAGGTATCAGGGCAGGGTAGCAGGCATCATAGTCCTTGATTCCATGATACCATTCAAGATATATTATGCAATAAAAGGCCACAGATAAACTGACAATCAATAAACAACAGCCAAGTACAAACCACCAGCTGCAAGAGAAAATAGTGAATTAGTAACAGTAAATTCAAATATCTATGATTTTCAGATTAACAAAAGTACATCAGATTGGGGAAGGATCTATTTGCTCAATTAAGCAATTCTGCAAGGTAGCATTGTTTTTGTATTGACACAAAAAGCCTGTCCATCTTCTGACACTGGTGTCAAGGTTATGTGATAGTTCTGATTCTAACCAGTTTCCTATTTGAAGAGGTCTGCACTTTACACGTGTGGCTGTCTTAGACACAGACCTTAACTGACAGGGTTGAGAGCTTGCTGAAAGTTGTAGTATGACAGGAGAAGTAGAAAACAAGAAATGGAAAGGAATGAGTACTACCTAGGCCTAGATAGAGTGCAGCAATTGTAAAAATTTTAGTTCTATGAATAAACCAGGTTGAAACCTGTACTTCAGTTGCCTGACTCAAAACATATATGAAGAAAAATTCTTTTGAAGCTCTAGTTTTCTATTATGCAGAACAGTTCTTCAATAAGGATTCAAGGTTCACCTCAGGAATATGTGCAACAGAACTTTTAGTGAAGAAGCACCCACCCTCTGGAAAGCTCTATCAACTGACATAAAGCAGGCCTCCACAGTCCTGGAGTTCAGGTGTCTTCCTAAAATTCATCTTTATAAAAGCTTTCTCTGAAAGCTCAGCCAGCATGGTTTGTAGCACACAGAAGAGTATGCAGTTTTATTACTGATTAATTTTGTGTTGTTTATGCCATTATATTTATTGCTGTTTTATCTCATGTTATCTGTATTCACTGCTTTGATGCTTTTGTAGAAAGCAAGATATAAATTCGAATACATAAAAATAAATACATGAATAAGATGCATATTCCTCGAATCCACATAGAGATTCCCATCCCCAGCAATGATCAGAAACTTTCCCTTATGAGGACAGATCTAACACAGATTCTTACTCTACAGGGAGAGTTTAGTTTCCCTACCTCCTCTAAAATTAGATCACTGGAGCAAAACAGCACACACTTCAGATCTGAAGAACAGTTAACATGGAGGAGAAAGCAGGTAAGGCAAGATGGCGAGGTCAATCATCTCACATGATTCTGGTTCCGGACTCCTAGCCGAAGAGATCAGAAGAAACTGCACCAGCTGGTCTAGGGACTCTGGGATATGAACAGCCAAGCTCCAGGGAGTGAATGATCAGAGTGAGTGAACAGTGAGAGCTAACAGGAGTTTGGCAGGGGAGGTCCCTAACCTTTTTTCTTTTAACCCCTTCGTTCCTCCTCCCGTTTTCTTCCTTGTAACACACTCCCATTTGCTGGTAATGGGACGGTTTTGCTAATCTTCAGAGAAGACAGGAGAAAGCACTGGTTGTCACAGCAGGCCCAGCAAGAAAGAATCAAAAAGGTAGCAGAAAAGATGGATCAATAAGACCGCCCCCCAGTGATGATGACCTGCAATGTTTGTTTTTGCCTGAGGTCAATATGACCTACATGTGCAACAACTGCAAGCTAGTAGCCTTGTTAGAAGAAAAGGTGAGAGTGCTAAAGTGTGTCCACCCTCAAGGTAATACAAGAAGATGAACAGTTTTTAGACAGAGTAGTGGAACGGTAATTGTTATGAGTAGTAGAGAAGCTAGAAGTGCACACAAGCTGAATCAGAAGAGGAAAATCCTGAAGGAAGGGAAATCAGGACAAAACTCCATGGAAAAGGGTAACAGTTACAGAAGAACTAAAGACCTTCTGCACTGGTGGAAGCAGTGGAACTCTCAGACTGCATTCAGTTACTTGAGGATGAGACTGGAGGGCAGCCTGCCATGGAAGAACTACAAGTCATCCCATGCAGCAGTGAGTGAGAGGCTAAAGGTCAACCAATTATACCAAAGCTTGCAAGAACAAGGGTGCTAGTTGTGGGAGATTCTTCATCAGGTATGCTGTCTTCCTGGAGAACAGATTAGTGATATAGCTGAAAGATTTCCAAGACTCATACAGCTCACTGACATTTGTCACTTCCTTCTTATACACGTGGAAATAAATGACCCTGCCAAGTGGAGTTTTGAAAAAATTACATTAGACTTTGAAACTTTAGGGAGGAAAGTCAAGAACTTTGGGGTCCATATAGTTTTCTCTTTGATCCTTCAAATACTTGGAAGAGAAATTGACAAGGAAATAAAAATTATCCAAGTATAAAGCATGTGGTCTTCGATGTCCATATACTAATATCTTAAGTACAGGAAACAAACAGCATGAACTTAATACAGGAGAGTGAAAATGACCAAATAGGTATAACTGAAATGTGGTAGGAAAACTCCCATGACTGGAATTCAGCAACTGAAGGATACACCCTGTCCAAGAATAGAAGGAATGGAACGGGAGGCAGAGTTGCACTAAATGTTAAAGATACATATATCTACACAGAAATGCAGGAGGCTGCACTCTCATCAAGAGCATGTGGATTAATATAAATGGAGCAAGGAATAAAAGGAATTCAGTGGCTGGAGTCTATTATCAACCACCCACTCAAGGAGAAGACAAGGATGAAACTTTTGAAAAGTAAACTGGCAGTGTTTCAAGGGGGCTTGATGTCATTGTTATGAGGAACTTCAATTACCCCAGTATCTGTTGGGTGACAAATTCTGTCAAGCATGGCCCCTCCAAGAGATTCCTTACATGTGCTGCTGGTAACTTCCTCCAACAGGAAGTGGAGGAAGGAACCAGAGGAATGGCTATCCTTGACTTGGAAGGATAACAGGGAAGGGAAGACCTAGCGGACAAAGTGGCAGTTACAGAAGCTGTCAGGGAAAGTGACCATGCCATAAATGAATTCCTACTCTCAAAGGAAGCAGAAGCCAAATGGAGCCAAACATGTACCTAAGATTTTAGGAAAGTCAATTTTAATAAACTCAGAAGAATGATAAGTGAAGTCCTATGGCAAGCGACTCTAATGAGAAAAGGAATACAAGATAGGTGGTATTTTTTTAAAAAAGGAAAATTTCTTTAAACACAAAAAAACACAAACAATTCCAACAAGGAAAACGGGTAGAAGACAAGAGAAGACGCACCTGTGGCTTCACAAAGAGCTTAGAGGGTTATCTGGAAACAAAAGACATGTATAGGAAGTGAAAGAAAGGTCAGGCTACAAAGGAATACAGGCAGGTAGCATGGAATTACAGAGATGGCATCCAGAAGGCTAAAGATAGGAATGAATGAGGGATGCCAAAAGCAACAAAAAAGCTTTCTTCAGCTAAGCTCAAAGTAAAGGACAGAGGAAAGAAATGGGGGTTCAACTATTCAATGTGGATGGCAAAATAGTGACAGATGCCAAATAAAGGGGAGAAGTGCTCAGTTCCTACTTTGGCTCAGTCTCCTCCCAGATGTATAACCTTCCAGTGAAAGGGATGGTCCAGGGACTGAAAACAAAGCTTTGTGAGGAGAGATTGAAAGAACTGGGCGTGTTTAGTTTTGATAAGAGAAAACTGAGGGGAGATATGATAGTATCATACAAGTACTTGAATGGCTGTCACAAAAAGGAAGGACAAGATCTCTTCTTGATCATCCCACAGTGCAGGACATGGAATAACGGGCTCCAGTTACAGAAAGCCAGATTCCAGCTAGATATCAGGAAAAATTTCCTGACGGTTAGAGCAGTATGACAACAGAACCAATTACCCTGGGATGTCGTGGGTTCTCCCATACAAGAGGCATTTAAGACGCAACTGGACAGCCATCTGAAAGGGATGGTTTAACTTGATGTTCTGCACTGAGCAGGAAGTTGCCCTCTAGCTCCTTCCAACTCTACTATTCTGTGACTCTATAACATGACACAACAAAATACACTTTGAAACTAAGTGTGACAATAATGGCATCAGGTTACACTTCAAATGGCTGCACTACAGTTGCATTAGAAGCTACAATCAGTGCTACACCTCAAGAGTAAAAACTAGACAACACTGAGTATGAAAGAACCCTGAGTCTGAATTAGGAGGAAATATAAAGCTGTGTGAAAACTTCTCCTGGTGTTTATTGCAACAGTACAATCTGCACATATTGACAGAACTGAAATAGTAAAGGTGACAAACCTCTTTCTGCTAAAGTTACAGATGTTTCAAACACGAAGCTTGGCAAAATATAGTAAGGGCTACGTTCAGACCCATTCTAAGGACACCTGAGAAGCCTACCCTCCTACCCTCATCCACCACCACTTCTTGTGGTGTTTTTCTGCTGGTCTTCTGAAGGCAACAGTGATGCAGTTCTCATTTCAGTTGCTACTACAGCTGGCACCCATGACCTCATTTCACCTACCTCTGGTACTACTACAGGGAAGGTGAGATATGCATACACAGTGAGGATTATGTGCTTCTTTCAGTCTCTCTTTTTCACCTGTACCTGTTTCATATTGCATTCAGTGTGAAAGTGGCCATATTTACAAGCAAGCAATAAACCAGGTTGCTCTATGGTTTTATTGTCTATAACCTGCTTAGAGGGCCCTTGAGCCAATGTAGTGGGAAATAAGTCTATAATAAATAATACTTAAATAAGGGGAACCTACACCCACGGAGTGGTGTCCCCTCTCTACATTTGCCTCTCACATTGGTAAAGAAGAGAAGGTAGGGCTGTAGTAGCAGAAGCACAGCCAGAAGCAATGGCCCTGCTCTCCCTTTTAGGAGATATTATGTGGAGAGATGTCTAATTAAAGTCATTGTCTCAATCCAGGTAAGATGGAGGTTCTGATTGTGGGTGATTCGAGCTCCTGGGTAGGTGACTTGGGCCTTGCCCTGGATGGGGTTGCACTCCCTCTAAAGGACAGGGTCCGCAGCTTGGGAGTGCTCCTCGACCCAGAGCTGTCCTTCGAAGCTCAAGTAACAGCGGTAGCAAAGAGCGCTTTCCTTCAGCTTCAGCTAATCTATCAGCTGCATCCCTACCTGGAGGAAGATTGCCTAGCAACAGTAACACACGCATTGGTTACTTCCTGGTTGGACTTCTGTAACGTGCTTTACATGGGGCCGGTTATTACCTATAAAGCCCTAAATGGCTTGGGACCAGGATACCTAAAGGAACTCCTTCTTCCCTATTTGCCCTCCTGCCCCCTGAGATAGGCAGCAGAAGCCCTCCTCTGGAAACCCTCTGTGAAAGATATTAGGAGACAGAGTACCTGGAGGAGGACCTTCTCTGCGGTGGCACCCCGTCTATGGAATGCACTCCCCAAAGAGGTCTGCCTGGCGCCATCATTATATGTTTTTCGGCACCAGGTTAAGACCTTTTTATTTAATCAATATTTTAACAAGTTTTAATATTGAACTTTATTACCATATTTTAATTGCAGCCAGAGTGGGTCATTAATTTATTTATGTTATACTTTTATGTACAGGTACTTTATTTGTGTAAGCCATCCTGAGGCTCTCGCAAAGGACGGCATACAAATATAGATCGATAGATAGATAGATAGATAGATAGATAGATAGAACAGCATACGCATGATTACTTTATTAAGAAAAAATGTTGTATTTGCATTCTGGAACACTGTATGGCTTTACATTTCTCCAATATTTTGCCAGCTTAAGAGCTTCAACTGACAACCATTATACTAGATTCTCCTTCCCAAACAACTCAAATACGATTCAGAACAAATAAAACACTCCCCCCTCAAAAATTGTTCACGTGCTTCTTTACCAATTGCTTTCTAGATCAATGCTTCAAATCATCACAACTAGTTCAACACAACTGGTTTAAGGATTGCATCCATAACTTCTATTTCCACAAATGGTAACAAAATTAATAAGCCATTGTCAGATAACCAGAACGGGAGTATTTTTGCCATATCTGTTACAAAATATTCTGAGTATTATAAAATATCTTTGTAATATTGATACACTGGTACCTTGGCTCACAAACTTAATCTGTTCCAGGACTCTGGTTGTGACCCAAATTGGTCATGAGCCAAGTCAAATTTCCCCATAAGGTTCAATGGAAATAAGGTTAATCCATTCTGTAACCACTTTTTTAATCAGAAAAATTTGAAGCAAGTGACAAAGAAGAAACAAAGATCACAGCCGTCTCCCCGCTCACCCTGAGCATGACCGCGATCGCGCCATCATCCCTGCATGAGTGTGATCGCAGCCATAGACGGGCGCAGGCATGCTCGGGGGGGAGGGGGAGAGACAGGCACAATCCTGCTGCGGGGGAGATGTCTGAAATCAATTGTGCTCATGCAGGAAAGACGGGCGCGATCACGGGTGCACTTGTGCAGGAAAGACAGACGCAATCTTGGCCATCTCCCCTCCAGCATGACCTCCCCACCCCACCCCCAAGCACATGATCGCGTCTGTTCTCAGCGATTGTGGCCATCTCCCCCGGGGGGGGGGGGGAGATGGTCACGATTGTGGTCGCCACCCAATGCGGAGTTTTGACCTGAGTCAAAAATTTTATGACATTTTTGTTCACAACCTGATTTGGTCATGAACTGAGGTGTTCATGAGCCGAGGTACCACTGCATAGGGTAAAATTTACAAATATTTTGTTCAAATGAAGTTCATATAAGTTGTGCTTTTAAAGAAACCCACCCTTACCTTTCTTTTTGAATAAGCTCTTTAATAGTTTTAAAAAATTCAACATAATATGTAGTAGCTATTGATGCCAATATCCAGAATGCAGAATGAATGTTGAGTCTGGGAAGAGGCTTTTCTTTCTTTTCTATGCCTGTAGAGTCAGCTGAAAATAAAGTATTATTCTATATAAGTAATTAAGAGAAAGCATGGACCAAAAAAATCATGATACTGAGCATAACACTAAACAAGTAACACAAAGCACATCTCTCTTCTAATAATTTCTGTGCAATATTTAAGGCAGTCAGAATATATTTGCCTAGGCCACATTTTTGAGAATCCAGCCACCAGAGCATTTAATAGTATTCTATATGTTCATTGTGCCGAGTGTCTTGTGATCCATCCCAGACATAAACATTTCAAAATTCATTATCACTATTACTGCACTTCAGCAAGCAAGCAGCTTTCTAATTTAGCCTTCGTTATGAGCCTCCACAAAGAATGTGTACACCAAAGAGGAGCGTCCTTGGCTACGAACCATGACTATTAAATCCGTTTTCTAAATCCGCTTTTTCTGGACCTTTACAATTCTACATCTACTTAGGAGTAAGCCGCATTAGCCGCAGTGGCTTCTGAGTAGACAACACTGGCGATCAGAACTTCTGACTTGGCTACCAAGGCCACAGAAGGGACACAGGCGCCCCGCCCCCCGGGGTGATCCGGAAGGGCCGAAGGGTGTAGCCTCCTCCGGCTGCACACCGACGGCTCAGGGCGAAGCACCTACCCGCCTGCTGCGCTCCGCGAGGCTCCGGCCCCGAACTGGCGGAATGTCTCCTGAAGCGCAGCGGCGGGTGCAGAGAATCCTCCTCGGTCGCACCCCGCTCTCCTTCCACCATCTTGGCAAGTCCAAGCCAAGGAAGCAGCGGAAGTGACGCACCCCAAACCGGAAGCGAGTGGGAGCGTTTCGTGACCCGTCGCCGTGGCCTTAGGGCGGTGGTTCTGCTGGTCGGAGTTTTCCGGATTTTTCAGCAAGCCTGACGCAGAACTGTATCTTTCAGTCATCAATCTCCCTCTACATGCTTGGTCAATTGGTACGATTCTACTCAGTCCTCACAATCAAGAGTTATCCCCCTTTAGAACTCTTTCTTTGATTACCAATAAATGTGCATTTGCTGCCTCGCTTGTATTTCATGGCTTTTTGACCTATTGTTTAGATTCCTTCCCCGTATGTGTGTGTAATACATGCTGAAGTAAGGAGTGCACTTCATGGCTCTGACAGTGGACAGTGGTCCACAAACGACAGTGCTGCTGTAAAACTTAAAATTCTGAGGTGCTACAGAACTCTTGCCTGAAAGAACATAAATTTAAACATAAGATACACAGAATGGGTGTTGACAAGTTGTAATTTGCAGTGAGTTTTGATGCATGCACTAGTGTCTAGGAAATACTGTACACAGTTCTCTGTGACTCAGGAAATTATTGATGAAAGCTAATGGCAGCATTCTTCATACAGTTCAAGTGAATTCACCAAACACCTGGGTTTTCCCTCCTCCACAATTAGCCTCTTGCACTTTGCATGTCTAGCCAGTTGTTAAAGTAGAGTACTTATGGAATGGTGTGGGAAGTGGGACAGGTATTTTCAAGCAGGAGGGGAAAGTGCCGGGGGAGCTCTGTGCATGCTACTCTGAACTCAAACCTATGTATAGCATGAAACAGATCACAGTACCATGCAAGAATATAACTGCTTCTTCTTTCTGAATTTTACTTGTTCATAGAACATAGATGTCAGAAAGTTCTGAAACTTCGATGAAGCAGCTCTTTGTTGTTAGTCGCGAAGTCGTGTCTGACCCATTGCGACCCCATGGACAACCTTCCTCCAGGCCTTCCTGTCTTCCACCATCTCCCGGAGTCCACTTAAGCTCAGACCAACTGCTTCAGTGACTCCATCTAGCCACCTCATCCTCTGCCATCCCTCTTTTATTTTTCCATCAATTGTTCCCAGCATTAGGCTCTTCTCCAGGGAGTCCTTTCTTCTCATTAGGTGGCCAAAGTATTTGAGTTTCATCTTCAGTATCTGGCCTTCTAAAGAGCAGTCAGGGTTGATCTCTTCTAGGACTGACGGGTTGGATCGCCTTGAGGTCCAAGGAACTCGCAAGAGTCTCCTCCAGCACCACAAATTCAAAGGCCTCAATCCTTCAGCGCTCAGTCTTCCTTATGGTCCAGCTTTCACAGCCATACATGGCAACTGGGAAAACCATAGCCTTGACTATACACACTTTTGTTGGCAGGGTCTCTGCCTTTTAGTATGCTGTCTAGATTTGCCACAGCTTTTCTCCCAAGGAGCAAGCATCTTTTAATTTCTTGGCTGCAGTCCCCATCTGCAGTGATCTTGGAGCCCAGGAAAAGAAAACCTGTCACTACCTCCTTTTCTTCCCCATCTATTTGCCAGGAAGTGAGAGGACCAGATGCCATGATCTTAGTTTTCTTAATGTTGAGTTTCAAGCCAACTTTTGCACTCTCCTCCTTCACCTGCATCAAGAGGCTTTTTAGTTCCTCTTCACTTTCTGTCATTAGAGTGGTATCATCTGCACATCTGAGGTTGTTGATATTTCTCCCAGCAATCTTAATTCCAACTGGTGATTCATCTAGCCCCGCCTTTCTCATGATGTGCTCGACATATAAATTAAATAGGCAGGGCGACAGTATACAGCCTTGCTGAACTCCTTTCTCAGTTTTGAACCAATCAGGGGTTCCGTGTCCAGTTCTCACAGCTGCTTCTTGACCCGCATATAGGTTTCTCAAGAGACAAATAAGATGGTCTGGTACTCCCATCTCTTTAAGAACTTGCCACAATTTGTTGTGATCCACACAATCAAAAGCTTTAGCATAGTCAATGAAGCAGAAGTAGATGTATTTCTGGAACTCCCTAGCTTTCCCCATGATCCAATGTACGTTGGCAAATTGATCTCTAGTTCTTCTCCCTCATCGAAATCCTGCCTGTACTTCTGGTAGTTCTCAGTCCACATACTGCTAGAGCCCAGCTTGTAGGATTTTGAGCTTAACTTTGCTAGCATGTGAAATGAGTGCAAAGATGCGGTAGTTTGAACATTCTTTGGCATTGCCCTTCTTTGGGATTGGAATGTAAACTGACCTTTTCCAATCCTGTGACCACTGCTGAGTTTTCCAAATTCGCTGGCATGTTGAGTGTAGCACTGCTACTGAATCGTCTTTTAAGATTTTGAATAGCTCAGCTGGAATACTGTCACGTCCACTAGCTTTGTTGTTGCTCAGACTTCCTAAGGCCCATTTGACTTCACATTCCAGGATGTCTGCCTCGAGGTCAGTGACCACCCCGTCATGGTTATCAGGGATGCTATGCTCTTTCTTGAATAGTTCTTCTGTGTATTCTTGCCACCTCTTCTTAATCTCTTCTGCCTCTGTTAGGTCCCTGCCATTGTGGTCCTTTATCATGCCCATCTTTGCATGAAATGTTCCCTTCATATCTCCAATTTTCTTGAAGAGATCTCTGGTCTTCCCTATTCTATTGTTTTCTTCTATTTCTTTGCACTGTTCATTTAAGAAGGCATTCTTACCTCTTCTAGCTATTCTCTGGAATTCTGCATTCAATTGGGTGTATCTTTCTCTCTTGCCTTTCACTTCCCTTCTTTCCTCAGCTATTTGTAAAGCCTCCTCAGACAGCCATTTTGCTTTCTTGCATTTCTTTTTCTTTGGGATGGTTTTAGTTGCTACCTTTGTACAATGTTGCGAACCTCCGTCCATAGTTCTTAAGGCACTCTGTCTATCAGATCTAATTTCTTAAATCTATTTGTCACCTCTACTGTATATTCATCAGGGATATGATTTAGGTCATACCTGAGTGGTCTAGTGCTTTTCCCTACTTTCTTCAGTTTAAGCCTAAATTTTGCAAGAAGAAGCTCATGATCTGATCCACAGTCAGCTCCTGGTCTAGTTTTTACTGACTGTATAGAGCTTCTCCATCTTTGGCTGCAGAGCACATAGTCAATCTGATTTCTATGTTGACCGTCTGGTGATGTCCATATGTAGAATCATCTCTTGGGTTGTTGGAAAAGAGTGTTTGCTATGACCATCGTATTCTCTTGACAAAATTCTACCAGCCTGTGCCCTGCTTCATTATGTACTCCAAGGCCAAAGCTGCCTGTTATTCCGGTTATCTTTCGGCTTCCTACTTTAGCATTCCAATCCCCCATGATTATAAGGACATCATTTTTTGGTGTTAATTCTAGAAGGTGTTGTAGGCCTTCATAGAACTGGTCAACTTCAGCCTCTTCAGCACCAGTGGTTGGGGCATAGACTTGGACTACTGTGATGTTGAATGGCTTGCCTTGGAATCAAACTGAGAACATTATGTCATTTTGGAAATTGTATCCCAGTATTGCTTTTGCTACTCTTTTATTGACTATGAAGGCTACTCCATTTCTTCTGAGGGATTCTTGCCCGCAGTAGTATACCTGATGGTCATCTGAATTAAATTCACCCATTCCTGTCCATTTTAGTTTGCTGATTCCTAAGATGTTGATGTTCAGTCTTGTCATCTCTTGTTTGACCACGTCTAGCTTGCCTTGATTCATGGATCTTACATTCCAGGTTCCTATGGAGTATAGATCTTTGCAGCATCGGACTTTCCTTTCATCACCAGATACATCTGCAACTGAGTGTCCTTTCGGCTTTGACCCAGTAGCTTCATTCTTTCTGGCACTATTAGTACTAGCCCTCTGCTCTTCCCCAGTAGCATATTGGACACCTTCCAACCTGAGGGGCTCATCTTCCGGCATCATATCTTTTTGCCTTTTGGTACTGTCCA